CGGTCTACTGGTTGGGTTGCGCTCCTCCTTTAAAGAGCAAAGTGAAGATCACCCGTTCGACTTGTTCAACATTTATTAGAACAAATACTAACACTAACAACTAATCATTCCCTGTGTCAAAAAAAAAAAAAAAAACTCTTCTCAATTTATATCATAATTTAAACATAATTTTTAATTTGAAATTTCAAACATTTAAACTTTTAACTATAAAAATGTTGCCTATATGAGACTAAAGAAATGACAGCTTTGATCCCTCGTACAAAAAATTTGCCCCAGTTAGCTAGACCAGACTTATCAATTTTCATCCACATTAGCAATTCACATGTGGTGGAGATCGATGTTATTTTTGTCGATGTTTTGTCCGATCCAGAAGCTATAGAAGATATGTCTAAAGTTATCTATAATTTCAGTTCCTCTCTACTAGTAGTAGCTAGTATATGACTTCTATCCTTATCCAAGAAGGAACAACCAGTTAATTGTCCTTATCAATAACTCAATTGTCCTTATCAATAACTCAATATTCAACACGGTTGAATGGTAGATTAAATACATTTACCATAGCTCTCAAACGTCATTGTTTTGCTTCATTATGAAAATTTACCTAGAACAATTTGCACTAACTAATTTGTCATTAACCCTAATTAGAAAATGTAATTTTTTTCACAATTTAAACTATATTAAATTATAAAATAAAAATGATTGAATAAGGAATGACTTCTAATATTAAAGAATCTACTCTATATCTAATAATTAATATAATATAATTTAAATTTTATTATACCTTTTTGTTTAAACTCTTCTCAACTTATCTCATCATAATTTAAACTTAACCTCTAAAATGGAAATTCAAAATTTTAAATTTTGATTCGTAAAAAATGTGGTAAAAACTTATTTTTAACCTTTTATCTTATTAGATTTATAAGTTTTAGCCCTTCACTTATTAAAATTGAAAAAAATAATCCTCATTTTATAATATTTCATTAGTTCTGTTAATTAGCTATTAATTCTATTAGATGACTGTTAACTCTATTAGCTAAAAATATGTTTTGTCAACTAATAGTTAGTTAATAAAGTTAACAGTCAGTTACTAAAATTATTTTGTTAATTGACTATTAACTTTATTAGTTAAAAGTAAATTTTTGTCAGTTAACAATTAATTAATAGTTAATTAATAGAGTTAACAGTCAATTAACAGAACTAACAAAATATTATAATGAAAGTTATTTTCTTTAATTCTAATAGATAAGAGATTAAAAGTCTTATATAATATAAAGCGAGAAACTAAAACTTATAAATTTAATAAAGTAAAAAAAAAATTAAATGTAGGCTTTTGCCAAAAAAATGTTGCCTGTATGAGACTAAAGAAATGACAGCTTTGATCCCTTGTACAAAGGCAAAACATGCAGATTAACCTCTCATCTTTTCGAGCAATGGCAAATTACCCTTTCAACTGAATTCGTGCGCAAACTCACCCTCAAACTTATGGTTGGTGGCAAAATAGCCTTTGTCTAACTGATTACGTCAGCATTCCATCCAATACTAACGATGGGCTGCATTTGGTGGGACCCGAAGATGATGTGGTGAAGAGTTGGACCAGTTTTAACATATTGGATGTTAGGTGGCTATTATTCAATGACATGAAAAGTGTTTTTCATGTTTTTTGCCATTTTTAATTTTTTGCTTGTCAACTTCTTTTCTTTCTTTTTTCTCGCTCTCCCGTCAGCCATTTTCACTTTACCCATTTTTTCTCTCTTTTCTCTTTAGAAGCTTTGCAACTTCCAATTTCGAAATGGGTTAAACTCAAAGATGAAGCAACAAAGAAAATTAATTAGAGTCAAAGTATGTTTGTAGAAA